TCCACACAATTCCAATAGGGTTCAATGCATTGCATGCTTGAACCCTAATAATAATAAGAAAACTCTAACAAAAACAATAGGGTCCTACGCACTTGCGTGCTTGGACCCTAATAATAAGAAAAACTCCAACAAAAACAATAGGGTCCTACGCACTTGCGTGCTTGGACCCTAAAGAAGAAGAAGAAGAAGAAAAATCTGAGCAAAAGCAATAGGGTCCCATGTACCTAAAGGTGCTTGGACCCCTAATAATAAGAAAAACTCTAACAAAAACAATAGGGTCCAAGCATGCAAAAACCCTGACAATTCCAATAGGGTTCAATGCATTGCATGCTTGAACCCTAAAAATCTTGACAATTTCAATAGGGTTCAATGCATTGCATGCTTGAACCCTAATAATAAGAAAAATCCGCACAATTCCAATAGGGTTCAATGCATTGCATGCTTGAACCCTAATAAGAAAAATCCGCACAATTCCAATAGGGTTCTACGCACTTCGTGCTTGAACCCTAATAATAAGAAGAATCTTGACAATTTCAATAGGGTTCTACGCACTGCGTGCTTGAACCCTAATAAGAAAAATCCGCACAATTCCAATAGGGTTCTACGCACTTCGTGCTTGAACCCTAATAAGAAAAATCCGCACAATTCCAATAGGGTTCAATGCATTGCATGCTTGAACCCTAATAAGAAAAATCTTGACAATTCCAATAGGGTTCTACGCACTGCGTGCTTGAACCCTAAATATAGCCGCAAGCGGCAATGAGCGGGTTCAAGCATGCAACAGCAGTACGGGCCCTCCTGCAGGTTTAGCCATTAGACCTAAAAAGGCCTCAAGCTTTTGGTTTAGCCCTTTAGAGAATTTTGTCTCTATCTCACTCTGATCAAACGTTACAGGCAAAAATATGACTAAAGTTGAAAAAGATGAAAAATAGCAGTAAAGTATGAGCTCAGTGAAAGTGTGTCAGAATTAGTGAAAAGGCCACAATATGGTGTGATTCTTGATCAGGGACCATATCCAAAGATGTTTACCAGGTTTTGGTCAGATTGACCTTTTGACCTTTGTATAATAAGCCTTCGTATAATGTAGTCTTCGAATGAATAAGCCAAAATACCAGACAAACAGTACAAATTGTGACAGAACATGTACTTACAAAGTTGTTCATCTGAGTGACCTGAGTCGCATGGCACCATTTGTTTATCTGTCGACATTGTAATAACATTGTAATAGCATTTTAATTGATTTTTAAGTGTTTTGGAGTGCTAAAGCACCCCCTAAAGGTCAATCTAGACCAAAATTGGCCAACACCATTGAAGTCTAAATGTGTAAATATCCTTAAAGTTTGGAGATGATCTGACCAATGACTGTTGAGTTATAGCAAATCAAGCTAGCGATGCCATGTTTGCACTAATTAATTGGTTGATCCTCAATACACTGAGTGGAACAGTCAAAATGTTTTTGATAATTCTTGAGGATCAGTGTCTTCTGAATCTTAAGGTACTAAGTTGATGAAAATTGGCAAAAAATCCAGAGACTAGTTTGCAAGAATAGGTTTTTCACATTATGCAAATTAGCTCAAAAACTAAGGGGGTGGGGCAAAAATTGACTGGGGATGCACTTGTTCCGCAAGTCCCAAGGAATCAGCAGCAAATCTTATATTGAATTTTCAGTTTTTCAACATTTTTCTTAAATTATTGAATATTTCAATATATAGGCTAACAGTGAGTGAGCCCCTTTGCACTTAGTCACCTAAATATGTACTAAGTCAATACAATTTTAGTTATTTCTAAATAACATTTTAGAATACTTTCAAAAATGTTCTCTATTTATGCTATGATAATTCTTAAATTTTTCTTTGAGTAATATATATATATATATATATATATATATATATATATATATATATATATATATATATATTAATTCTACATAGATATGGAACATTTTTGTACATTTTATACAAAAATGTACTGAAAACTGTAATTTTGCACTTCACCATAGAAAAATTTCATTTTTCTATAGCATTTTTTCCATGTACATATTTGACATTAACCCAGAACATGAAAACGGAATACTTTTTTAAGCTTTCTTATTGCACTTCTGACTTTTTTAAAACATTCTGTGTAGATATAGAACAATTCTATAAATTTTCTATATAGACACACAACAGTTCTGCAATTTTTCTGTAAATACTACATTTTTCCTTATCTAAACTAAAAATGTGTGAGCCCTGTTGCACGTTGTCACCATGAAGATCTGGTTAGGAAATAATATATAAGTAATATTAGATTATTTCTGTAAGGTTTCTATATAGGCATAGAACAATTATGTAATTTTTTGATATAAACGTAGAACAGTTATGTAAGATTCCTATAAAGAACAAAGAACAATTTTCTAAATTTTCTATACAGACATAGAAGAATTCTGTATTTTTCTGTAATTTCTAAATATTTTATTATCTAGGCTAACAGTGAGTGAGCCCAATTGCACTTAGGCACCAAGAAGATCTGGTAAGGAAATAATTTTTAAGTAATTTTACACTGATGTTTCAGAACATTTCTGTAAAGATTCCATATAGAGATAACAATTCTGTAAATTTTTATATAGACATAGAACATTTTCATAACTCTTCTCTAAAGACATCAACCAATTTTGCACATGTTCTACATAGACCTAGAGGAATTCTGTAATTGTTCTGTAATTTCTAAATATTTCTTTATCTAGACTAACAGTGCCCGGGGCCCATTGCACTTATTTACCATAAAGATCTCAAGCAAATAACTGTAACTATAACCCAAGACCTAAACATTTCTGTATATTTTCTGTGTAGACTTAGAAAAGTTCTGTACGTTTTCTGTGTAGACACAGAACACTACGGTAATTTGTTCTGTAATTATATGTCCATATCTAGACTAACAGTGAATAAGCCTCACTGCACTTCCTCACCATAAAGGTCTTCAGTTGAAAATCCTAACCCTAATCCAGCTATCATGAAACATTTCTGTCATTTTTCTGTATGGGCATAGACCAATTCTGTAACTTTCCTATGAAGATGTAGAACAATTTGTAAATTTTCTATACAGACCTAAAAGAATTCTGTATTTTTTCTGTAATTTCTAAATATTTCTTTATCTAGGCTAACAGTGACTGAGGCCAATAGCATTTACCATAAAAAGCTTAAGCAAACAACCCTAATCCTAACCCAAGACCTATATAACATTTCTGTAAATGTTCTATATAGACATTGAAAAAGAGTTTCTTTGTAGACATGTTCATATTTAGGTTAACAGTGTGTAAGCTCAATTGCACTTACTCACCAGAAAGATCTTTAGCAAGTAACCGTAACCCTAACCCAAGACCTGTATAACATTTCTGTAAAGTTTCTTTGTAGACATAGTGTCACGCATCGAAGCGTGTCACAAGACAACTTGGACTTCATTCCCCAGAACCCTCAGGAGGATCACGTGACTGACTACGCAACTTCCCTCTGACTCTGAAAACCCATCGGACTGCATTACCCACAATGCTGTGGGGAATCACATGACCTCTGAAGAGCTCACACGCTCCTATCAGAGATCGCACTCACCCGAATACTAAATGTTTGATACCTGTGTTTACAGTCATATGACTTAGTTAGATTAGCTTTTAAGCCCGGGCTTTAGTTTAGCTCTTTGCGAGGTATTGCTTCTTCAAGAATATACTGAGCATTTTTCCCGAGTGTTATTTGCTGTACGTTTTTGACCATTGTTTCGTTATTTGACTTTGCCTTTTGCCTTTGCCCTTTTGTACTGTTGCCTGTCTTTGCTGATCTGTGTTTTTGGACCTTTGCCTGTTTTTTGACTTCGTTTTTGCCTTGCCTTCTGATGAACTGTTAGACATAGAATAATTCTGTAATTTTTCTGTAATTACTAAATATCTTGTTATCTAGGCTAACAATAATCCCCATCGCATTTCTTCACAATAACAATCTTCAGTATATAACCATAACCCTAATCCAGCTCTTATATAATGTTTCTGTAAATTTTCTGCATAAACAGAGAACAAGTCTTTGAATTTTCTGTGTAGACATAGAACAATTATACTAAATATTTCAATATCTAGGCTAACAGTGAGTGAACCCAATTGCATTCACCATAAAAACCTTATCCCTAACCCTATCCCAATTTTGTAAATTCATATATAAATTTGCAATTTTTCTTTATGTATTATATTTAATTTCTGTAAATGTTCTAAATAGACATAGAACAATTCTGTAATTTATCTGTAATTACTGAATATTTTCATATCTATGCTAACAGTTAGTGAGCCCTATTGCACAGTCATAGTAAATTTCTCTTAAGTTTAATAATGTTTACGTTGTTTTAATATGGTGTTTCAGTATGTTTTCTTTCTTACTTCTGTAAATTCTCTTTAGTCATATAACAATTCTTTTATATTTTTCAACATTTTTTTTTATTTTCACAAAATACATCTTCTTTTCAGCAAATCTTATATTGAAATTTCAGTTTTTCAACATAATCTGTAGTATGCACAAAATATGTATAGGAAAAAGATGCAAAGACTGAATAAATGAATAAAGGTAAAACAAATTTAAACCAAGGTGTGTAGTCCTCACTGGAAAAATTTACAGAATTATTCTGTGACATAGAAAATTTCTGTAATTTTTCTACACTGTAGAGGTATTCTGTATGAAATAATCTCAATGAAACCCAAGGTTCAAGTTGCTAAGGACAACTCAGGTGGTCTTGTCTGCCACTCTGAAGCTCAGGTAAATTTTACAGAAACTTTGTACAGAAAATGACATAAGTTTTTGTAAAAGACCTTACAGAAAACATACATAATTATTCTATAGCTATATAAGAATTCTATTTTTTTCTTAAACTATTATATAACATTTCTCTAAATTGTCTGTAGTCAAAGAAATTGCATACACTTACAATAAAATAATAACATTAACATTTATTAACAATACATTAACGTTGACAGTAACATTTATCTACTTTTAACATGATGTTTTAAAATATTTTTGTACATTTTCTATGATGATAAAGTAATTCTGTAGTTTTTCTAAACATTGAAACAGATACAAGCAGAAAAAAAGAAAAGAAAAAAAACACAAACTGCCCAGTTCTTGTTTTTTTCTGTTTTACAAAATCTCTTTGGCCATTTCTCTGTAAGAATAAAAATAAATCAGTTTACTATCTGTTGGATAATGGAAAATTTTCAGGTAAATTTGCAATGTATGAAATAAATACACACTTTTGGATTGTTTTCATAGGTGAAACAAAATTGTAGATCATCATTCCTTTTTTTTTGTAGTCTTGGAGTATGGAGTGTGCCCGGAGGACTTTGTTTATCTAAAATTAAGGGAGCAACATTAGTCTAAAGTCTTCACTGAGCAAACCTGTATAGTATCATGCTATTTCATGTGTTTGTACCAAACCATGACAGATAGGCCCATTTTCCCATGAAGGCAGTCCTGATTCTTGCCTTTAAGTCATCATTCATCGCCTCTTGCATTGTAGCTGTAAAAAATAAATAAAAAAACATCAAAAGCATGCTTAATTTAGTTTCCCAGTCAGTTCACATGTTCTTTTCCAGGTCTTACTTTACCTGAATAAAAACATCAGATGTCTTAAGGTCTTATTAGCCAAGTTTGGACACATGTACGTCAGGTAAGTAAATGAGATAAGTATATAAGTGTTTTCAGGTATTAGTTTGTGTATGTATCTGTGTTTATTATTGTCATGAAGGTGAAGTACCAGTACCTTTTTGGGCCCAGGGAGAACTTTCGGTAATGGTGAATATAGCTATAAATTCAAAAAAAAAGATGTTGAAGTTTTCAGAGATTAAAAAAAAAATTATATGTGTTTAATTTAGTGTTTAGGTATACCAATTGCATCAGATTGTTGACATTTTCAGGAGTGTCATTGATCAGACCTAATCCTTCAGACTCTGAGCTCTCACCTTTTTCAGCAACGTCATCTTCTTTGCCACTTTCCATTAACTCTTTGCTAGGACAACTCTGCTGGGTCCTGACCTCACTAGACTTTTCCTAATCCTTACTGTCTTTGTTGCTGTTCTTTTGATCTTCCTGGCTTTTTCCCCTGCTGACCCTGCACTGCTCATCTTCACTGCTTTCTTTCTGGCTTGTACCTGAATGTGCCAGGGTGGGCATGGCAACAAAAAATTTGTCAGATGTTCTCATGCTGTGGCACATCGCTTCAGCAACTTTCTCTCTTCCTGAGATATTGGTTTTAGCCTGCCTGACACACATCAGCATTAAAAAAGGTTTCACTTTACAATAGGTGCTTCTAATAACAACGTAGTTACACATTAACAATACATGTAATAACAAGATAACTACTGGTGATGTATTTGCTGTTACAGATGGATCACAGTAGTAAAGCTTACAGTTATTAGAGAGTAAAATGAAAATTATTAGGGTTATTAGGTGGAGAAATTATTAGAGTTAGAGTTAGGGTTAGGGTAGAGTTATGGTTAGATTAGGGTCAGGGGTATGGTATAGATTAGGTTTAGGGTGATTACTTACGTGTGTGGCTATAGATGACTGTATGTCTGTCATTATTGTATTTGGTTGTAGTCCTGCATGGATCCAGGCCATGGAAATGTAGTGTGAAATTTTTCTCAGCTCGGAGCCTGTTCTTGTGAAAAACAAGGTGTTTATGCCATCCCTGTAGCCTGGCAACTGTTGATGGAGATTAGCAAAACTCTCAAACTCCTTTTTAGTCAGGGCAAGTTGTGCTGTCCCATAACTGCCCATGGTTTTGTGGCTCAGAGCACAATATTTGATGTTTGGTCTTGAAAGGTAGATAATTTGAAGACATAAGTTGAAGAACATTGACAGGCAGTGTTTCCATAAAGTGCTTTTACATTTATAACACAGTTGTCTCCTTCATGCTTAGCAGACTTGAGATCTTGAACAGTCAAGTTGGCAATGACGCAAGGGCGGTGCCCTGACACACAGCCTGCATAACTTGCCAAAAACCCAAACAGGAGATGCCGGGCGGTCATGTTGTCAGGGGCACAATGCAAGTCCTCTGGAATAAGAAAAAACAGTGACCAGTGACAGGTTAATGGTGTGCAGCAGTGTCCCTCAACCCTAATTCTGGAGTAAATGCTGTCAGGTGCAATCTGTCAGGTGCCTGTTATAGAAAGTGTATATTAGTAAAAGGGTCTACTCACCCAAAAGTTTCCGAATGGCCTCAGATGCTTTCTCTCTGAACTTTTGTAATTCCTCCATGCTGAGCAGCCACACTAAAAATAAAACTTTAAGTCAGATTTTATTTCTCATTTCTCAAATGACCCAGATGAGAAAAAACAAACACTTAGCTACACCTCAGCACAATCCTGTATTTTTAGTTTTCAAATAGTTAAATTTTGCAAAAATACACAATTCTTCTAAATTTTCCCCATAAATTTACATAATCTGTCTATAAGACATATTTTTATAAAAGAAAATTGACTTAATTCTGAGTGGAGATTTTCAAGATAAAAAATGAAATTAACATCTATGGCTTTTATAGTGAGCATACCACTTTTGTTCTCATGCACCATCTGCTAGTGAATCACAATTTCTTTTCCCAGTGACTTGACCTCCATTGAGAGCATGGAGAGGACAAACTTATAGGTTCCTTGGTTGATGCGGATGTATCTGTCAATTTCGAACTCTCATAGGAATGAAAGGAATTTTTGAATACTGACAATGTATTGTTTCTGTGTTGTAACTGTTTTGTGTCTTTCTGCCTGAAACTATCTGCAGAGGGAATAAACATGGTTGATACACACAAACAGGACAATAAAAAAGTACTAAAACTTTCAGTAGTCACTAACAGACTTGCAACTTGAGCCTTTCTTCATTCGCTATGAAGAAGAAGTCCCTGCTGATAACCTCTGGTTAATGAACGTTATGACATGACTCTTTAACTGAGCTACATTTTCTATTTTTTTCCTGTCAGGTCTGCTCCCTTCATAGAAGCTCTGGAACTTCCTCAGTATGGTTTCTGCAAACATAAAGGAACAAAAAGCTAAGTTTACATGTGATAGGAGTAAAATGCATGTCTGAATTTTGACGTGCTTGAGAGGGCAACCATATGATTGCTGACTGTTTGAAGTGATGCCCAACTCTTTTGACTTTAGATGTTCCTTGTTTGGGTTCCTTGACTGGGAGTGAAAGCTGATGAGGTATGTATAGGTTCCTTTTTTCCACTTTTCTTCTCAGGTTTCTCCACAGGGTGTTTGGAGTGGACAGATGTTTCCTTCTCACTGGATGGGTTAGACCAGAATGAAGCATGTGTTTCTTTTTTTCTTATCCCTTCTGAGCAGGCAGTGCTTTCATCATTGCTAGAAGAGACTGTTGAGGTTGAATCCTGTTCATCTGTTGTTCCTTTTTTCCCAACAGGTTTCTCCACAGGGTTTTCATGAGAGGAAGATGTGTCCATGTCACTGGAAGAGTCAGGTAAGTGCAAAATGTGTCTTTTTTTCCCCCTTGTTTTCTGCCTAGGTGTCTTCACAGGGTGTTTGGAGTGGGCAGATGTTTCCTCATCATTGGAAAAGTCTTCAGTGTATAGGTAGGTTGCACTCTTTGCAAACTCAGGTTTGCTTCTTTAGTGAAAGCCTTGCTGCTAATAAAGATAAGGCAAATAGATTAGCTAAAACACCTCAGTAAGTAGGTTTCAGGTAAGTATAATGGTAAGTAAGTGTGCGCATCAAAGTTAGCTTGCTGTTGCACCATGTATTATTTACCTTTTTATTGAGCCATCAGGAATGAAATTATTTTTTTCTACCTTTTCACCTTTTTCTTCAACTTTACAACCCCAGTGAAGCTGTCAGATAACCAATGTTTGTGTAGTTTGGCAACACTTTTCTTGAAGTCTTTCTTTGCTGCCTGTAGTTTTTTCATGTTAGCGGGCTTTAAGAGTGAAAAGTTTTAAGGGCTAAGCATCCAAACTTATTAGCTATAGTTTTTTTGTTTTATAAAAGCAAAGAACATATCTTAAGATTACCTCAAGTTTGTGAAATTTTCATAAATGCTGATCTAGATGAGTCAAATCTTTTGCTGAACACATTTAGAGGCCCGCTGTATCTGTAATACAATCTCTGTGATTCAGAGAGCTGTTGGTGGAACTGGTGTTTTTCACTTTTTGCATAAGAATTAAGAAATTGACCTGTTGCTTTGTTGGCTCAGCAGCATCTTTCTTTCTTCTGGTTTAGTGATTCTGTGTAACACACTAAGGTGCTGACTTATGTTGGCATAATGCACTCCACACAATGGGCATCTCTTTGGGATCTTTTTTTCCCTCTTTGTCCTTTAAAATTAATTATTAAACATAAAGTAAATTACACATTACTGTGAACTTATGCTCATTATTTGCAAAGTACTAAATGGAATGATGCGTCTTCATATTGGTGTCTCTAAAAAGGTTTTTTTTCTGTCAGGAAAACATCCATGAACAAACCACTATTAGTTTCATTCAGGAGGAAAAGGAAGAACTCTTAAGCATGAAATGGTATAATAATTACATATGACTTACATGTGTATTAAGAGCAAAACAGAAATTCTTTATTTTTACTTAGACTTGGTATCAAAATTGCATATATTATCTACCAAAGTTAGAAAAATTATGTATTCTGTCTATGGTTTAAGCAAGAAAACCAGAGGGTTCTTTTGAATGGTTTCCTTACTGAAAAAAAAAAACACCTTAGGAGAATTATGTTCACAGAACAATCATATAATCCTCCTATATTATTTTACATACACAAATTAACAAAAACAGCAAACACTAGGACAATTACACATTTTTGCTAAAAGTATAATGTGAGAAAAATGTAATCTCTGAAGAAGTATGAAAAATGTGTCTTAGCAGGATTGCTAAAGTTAAAAAAAATAGAGAGCTTTTGTGTTATTACATGATTTTCCTGTCTGGCAGCAAAATTGCATAACTTCTTTATCGAAATTAGAAAAAGCATGTAATCTTTCTACTACTTTTCTAACTTTAGCAAGAAACAAAAACTAGGGGTTTCTTTTTGTCTGGAAAATAATAAAAGAATTATGTATTGTTGCTAAAACTATAGAAAAAACTTTCTGGAGAACTATGAAAAATGAGATACGTACACCTACCTGTATAGGTGAAACCACTGAAGTGAAGAAATTAAAGTTTTTCTTTGTTTTCTGTAATTTGCATAATTAGTGACATTTTGCAGTACTATTACATAATTTTTCTATTTGACAGCAAATTTGCATAATGTCCCTACCAAAATTTTAATTATTTTCTTAACTTAAGCAGAAAAAAGCATTGGCTTGACTAGATTGTGCAAAAAATTCCATAGAAAAATAATGCAATATTGACTTAAAATTACACACTATTGATTTAAAATTCCATAATTTTTCTATGATGTTACATAAATGTCCAGTATTTTTAGAGCTACATAAATTTTAATGAAATTAATGTGATTTGAATATGAAAGGAAATGACAAAATAATCAGATGACTATAGAAAATTGACAAAAATGTTCTGTAATGTCATGTTAAAACTGTGTATACGGCATTGAACCAATGTTACAAAAAGTATATAATTTTTCTGCTACTTTCCTAACTTCAGCAATAAAAAACACTATGGGTTTCTTTTTATCTGGGAAAAAATGAAAGAATTATGTGTTTTTGCTAAAACGATAGAAAAAACATAATTTCTGGAGAACTATGAAACTATGACCTGTATAAGTGAAACCACTGAAGTGAAAAAATGTATGTTTTTTCTTTGTTTTCTGTAACTTGCATAGTGACATTTTGCAGTATCATTACAGAATTGTTCAATTTGGCAGCAAATTTGTGTAACGTCAGTACCAAAATGAAAAAGTATGTAATTTAGAGTCTTTCAGTTTATATAGAAAATTTACAGAAATGTTCTATAGTACTTAAAAATACAGAATTTTTATCTGATAATAGAAAAATTATGAGTGTTCTAAAACATAATTTAAAAATTGTTTAAATGCTATTGGCTTTATGAGAAGTAAGTGCAGTGGTGCACTGTTAGCCTAGATATGGAAAAATTTAGCAATTACAGATTTTTTATAGAAAAATATATATAGAATATTTACAGAAATCTTATATAGTACTTAAATTTCCTAACTTAAGCAAGCTGAGTTTATTTTAGTCTAATGTGCTTATGAAAAATTACGCCACCACACTTTACTTGCTTATGTTATTAAATTTATAAAAAATAAATAATTTTGAGTTAAAATTTTCTATAATGTTACATACAAGTTATAGAAATGTAATTTTTAAAGTTACAGAAATTTTAATAACAATTATATAATTTTCATATGAAATCATAAAACACTTTTGTAATGTTCAAGTTTATATAACATTTCTGGAAATTTTCTATAGAGACAGAAATATTTTGTAAATTTTTATATAGGCATAGAACAATTCCATAATTTATCGGTACTCACTAAATGGAGAACAGTGAGTAAGCCCCATTGCACTTAGTCATCATAAAGATCTGGAAAGTCAATAGAATGTGTGTCATTTTAAAATTATCTTTTAGAATACTTTCATAATTTTCTGTAGTTGTATAATAATTTTCTGTTTTTAAGTACTATATATAATTTCTGTACATTTTATAAATAGACATAGAAGAATTTTGTGATTTCCCTGTAATTACTAAATATTTCCATATCTGTGCTAACAGTGAGTGAGGCCTGTTACAACCCTAGGGATCGTGATGTTGTGTTCTTTGCAGTTTTCTTTGTTTTTTTTTTTTGTTTTGTTTTGTTTCTTTTTTATGTATTGCAGTGTCATGACGATTCCGGTGTTACGCTAAAATCAGTTCCCCCTGTTCCCCCCTCATCGCGCATGTCGAAATCATGACGTCTTCAGTAGACGCTCCTCCGCGGGGCTTAGATAGGCTTAATTCGTGTGTTTCTGTACCGTAATTTCGTCCTATTCCTCGCGGTAAGCGAATTATCACGTTGTTTGTAAAATGACTTGTAGTTAAACACGTTTTAAAGTGTAAAATGTGTTGTTAGAAGATGTTTTAATGCTCAAACACTACGTGGGCTATCTTGCTAGCTTTGGCTCCGTTTTCAACTACTCCAATTAGCAGAAGTTAGATTTATTGCGCCATTTCTGATTTAATTACCATACATGCAGACGCATTTTGTTGTTCAGACTTCAGTGATTTTAAGGTGTATTTATGTCGCATATCCTCATCAGTCTCGCTAAGTTCTGTAAATAGATTTGAAACATTTGTTGCTGAAATAAATAAACTGCATTAAGTTACACAGCACAGTAATTAGTCTGTTATTATTGTTAGACTACGTATCTCAGTGCACCTAGGAAGTTGGTTTCCCTGTAGTTTTTGAGGCTGAAGTCTTACTGTTATGGTACTAATGTGACTTGTCTTTACAGTAACTTTTATTCATATTTTATAAGAAAAGTGTTTTCCGCTTGTATATTACAGCTGGAGTGGATTTACAGTACAGTAATGATGCTGATAATCTATTTCTGAGCATGATCATTTCACTCAGTAACTTTTATTCATATTTTATAATCTTTAGAACTGAGAATACAGGGGGAACATCTTTAACCAGAGCCTGAGAAAAGTGGTTTCCCCTTGCATATTACAGCTGGAGTGAATTTAATGTACAGCAATGATGCTGATAATCTATTTCTGTGCATGATCATTTCACTCAGTAACCTTTATTCATATTTTGTAATCTTTAGAACTGAGAATACAGGGGGAACATCTTTAACCAGAGCCTGAGAAAAGTGGTTTCCCCTTGTATATTATAGCTGGAGTGGATTTAATGTACAATGATGCTGATAATCTATTTCTGTGCATGATCATTTCACTCAGTAACTTTTATTCATATTATACCACGTTTAGAACTGAGAATACAGGGGGAACATCTTTAACCAGGGCCTGAAAAAAGTGGTTTCCCCTTGTGTATCACAGTTGGAGTGAATTTAATGTACAACAATGATGCTGATAATCTATTTCTGTGCATAATCATTTCACTCAATAACTTTTATTCATATTATACCCCCTTTACACTGAGATACAGATGGAACAGCATTCTCAGTGTACTAGTCGTTTACAGCTATTAAAGATTTAATGCACTATTATATTAATTTGTTTTTATTTTTATTTTATTCCAACTGCTTCTTCCATTAACATTGTTTTATACAGAGACTAAACAGATTTACCCAGCGACCCTAAAAAAAGTAAGTTCCAGTAAAATCTGGCAATTAGGATCAGTTTAATATACTGTAATGCTTTCTTTGCTTTTTCTGTCATCCCAGTAACTACAATGGATCAAAAATTTAAACTGTAGTTAATTAAATGTAAAAAAAAGATATATTATATGTTTTACCATTTTTCTCAAACTGAATGATTACTACATGCAGGTGTACTACAGTGTAATGTTTCTTGATACAGCTATGTCATCTGTTACTATGTTACCATGTCTAATGGAAGTAAACAACTGGGATTTGATCAGTGTTCCTGGTAAATGGTTTCCTTTCCCTACACTACAATGGGGCATAAAGGTACTATGATAATCCTATCATTTCCTTATATTACAACAGGTTATAAGTACTATAATAATTGTGTTGTTGTGTAAAGTTTGTATAATATGAATAAAAGCTACTGAGTGAAATGATCTTGCACAGATATAGATTATCAGCATCACTGCTGTGCTTTAAATCCACTCCAGCTGTAATATACAAGGGGAAATCACTTTTCTCAGGCCCCGGTTAATGACATTTCCCCCTGTATTCTGAGTTCTAAAGATTATATAAGATGAATAAAAGTTACTGAGTGAAATGATCATGCACAGATATAGATTATCAGCATCACTGTTGTACATTAAATTCACTCCAGTTGTAATATACAAGGGGGAACCACTTTTCTCAGGCTCTGGTTAAAGATGTTCCCCTTGTATTCTCAGTTCTAAAGATTATAAAATATGAATAAAAGTTACTGAGTGAAATGATCATGCACAGAAATAGATTATCAGCATCATTGTTGTATATTAAATCCACTCCAGCTGTAATATGCAAGGGGAAACCATTTTTCTCAGGCTCTGGTTAAAGATGTTCCCCTGTATTCTCAGTTCTAAAGATTATATAATATGAATAAGAGTTACTGAGTGAAATGATCATGCCCAGAAATAGATTATCAGCATCATTGCTGTACTGTAAATCCACTCCAGCTGTAATATACAAGGGGGAACCACTTTTCTCAGGCTCTGGTTAAAGATGTTCCCCCTGTATTCTCAGTTCTAAAGATCATAAAATATGAATAAAAGTTACTGAGTGAAATGATTATGCACAGAAATAGATTATCAGCATCATTGCTGTACATTAAATTCACTCCAGCTGTAATATACAAGGGCAACCACTTTTCTCAGGCTCTGGTTAAAGATGTTCCCCCTGTATTCTCAGTGTAAAGGTGGTATAATATGAATAAAAGTTACTGGGTGAAATGATTATGCACAGATATAGATTATCAGCATCATTGTTGTACATTAAATCCACTCCAGCTGTAATATACAAGGGGAAACCACTTTTCTCAGGCTCTGGTTAAAGATGTTCCCCCCGTATTCTCAGTTCTAAAGATTATAAAATATGAATAAAAGTTACTGTAAAGACAAGTCACATTAGTACCATAACAGTAAGACTTCAGCCTCAAAAACTACAGGGAAACCAACTTCCTAGGTGCACTGAGATACGTAGTCTAACAATAATAACAGACTAATTACTGTGCTGTGTAACTTAATGCAGTTTATTTATTTCAGCAACAAATGTTTCAAATCTATTTACAGAACTTAGCGAGACTGATGAGGATATGCGACATAAATACACCTTAAAATCACTGAAGTCTGAACAACAAAATGTGTCTGCGTGTACGGTAATTAAATCAGAAATGGCGCAATAAATTTAACTTCTGTTACTCGGAGTAGTTGAAAACAGAGCCAAAGCTAGTAAGATAGCCCACGTAGTGTTTGAGCATTAAAACATCTTCTAACAACACATTTTACGCTTTAAAACGTGTTTAACTACAAGTCATTTTACAAACAATATATATGCTAATATATATATATATATATATATATATATATAAATATATAATATAATATATGCTCCAGCTCATATGGTGTGAATGTTACCTTTTGAAGTTTGTATATTCTATGTTGTTTCGGTTCAGTTTTCTCACTTATGTTTCAACTTCAATAAATCTTGATCAATGTGAAGCTGGATGTTGTATGCGTGGTCGAGGGAATCTGAAGGGCACACGTGTCTCTATCTCTCTCTTCCCTTTTATGTTACGGCTTAACCCTAGACTGGGTCATAACAGGCCTGTTTCACTTACCACAAAGATCTGCTAACTTAACAAACTTGAAGCATTTTTCAATGATTTCTTGTAACATTTTATAGTCATATTGTGACAAAGCAACAGAATCCAGACGCTCGCGGTGTAAAATGGCGAAAAGGGTTTTAATGGAGTTAGGCAAAGGCGTAGTCAAAAACAAGCAGGGGTCAAAGCCAAACAGCAAATACAAAACACAACGATGATGATATCACCGTGTGAACGAAACCAAGGGGCAAGACAAAAGGGAAAGTCGAAAAACATTCCAGCAGGTCAAAAACACAGAACACCAAAATCACAGGCAACAGTATCCGAAAAGGGGTAAGGCAAACAGGCAGAGTCGAGAAAGCGAAACAAAAGGTCAGAAATAACGCTCAGTAAGTTCGTGATGAAGCAATACCTCGCACTGAACTTCACTAAAGCCCGGGCTTAAAAACTATCCTAGCCTTATCATATGATCTAAAACAGAGGTGCAAATAGTTAATACTCAGGAGAACGAGAGCGCTGATAGGAGCGCAAGATATTGTCTGAAGTCATGTGATCTCCCTGAGGATTGTGGGTATTGGAGTCCGTCGCATTCTCCGAGTCAGAGGGACGTAACCTAGTCATGTGATCCTCCTGAGAGTTCTGGGTAATGAAGTCCATATCATCCCGTGATACTGGCAAATGCGTGACACATATATTTTCATAATCTGTAATTATTATGTAACACACATGTAAATGTTATAGTCTTAAAATAATTATGTAATTTCTATTTTTTTATATTTACACAATTTTTCAATAATCATAATAATTCTCTTATTCATGTTTCATTTTTTTGCACAGCGTCATGTGTATAAGCTGTATAAAACATGTAGAGAAAATGAGGAAAAGAAAAACAACAACTAAAAAGCCCATTCCTCACTGGTTAATTTTACAGTGTCTTTCTGTGACATTATGGAGAATATATGTAATTTTTCTACACACTGTAGAAATATTTTGTAGTTGGTGAAAACAGAAGAAATACTTGTTTTTAATAATTGGGTACAACTCAGGTGGTATTGTCTGCCCCTCTGGAGACCTTTGGATCTTGCATTACAGAAATTTTACAGAAACTTTCTTTGACCTTAGAGAACATACATAATTTTTCTATATACTGTAGAACAGTGATTGAACAGTTACACATATTGTCTGGAATGTAAAGTGCAGGAACAGGGTGTTTCACAACAACATGCTGAACTATTACACAGGGTTTTTATACAGTTAGGGTTGTTTTCACACACAGTCCACATGTCTTACGACCGCATATCCTTCATTGAGCAGTATGTGCTATCCTCTGTAACATTGCAAGTCACAGATTTTCTTGCTGGAGGCAAGGCATTCTCCAAAAAGTCATTGCCTATGTCCTCCATGTCTTCTTTGTTTCTTTTTAGAAGGCAGTAGCATAAGAGACCTGCCAACAGAATCAAAGCCAAGGATCCTCCAACAGCACAGGGTATCACAATATTAGATATGTTCATGGCTTGTGTAACATGGAGCTCCAGAGTACAGTAATGCTTGCCTACTAAGTTCTTTGCTGTGCATCTGTATGTTCCCCCATCGGTTTCTGTGGCTGAGCCGATGTGCAATGTACCACCTCTGTTATCCACACTGGCAGATACTGGCATTTTATGACCATCAATTCTGTCCCAGGAGTAGTACATTGGTCTTGTTCCATTGGAGTGCCACTTTATCAACACATCTGACCCTTTGTAGGTCATTCCCTCTACAATGCAACTTTGCAAAGATGGAGCAGCCATGAGATGAAGAATCTGTTTGTGGCCTTCAATACCTGGTACCTTCTTCACCTGACACTGGTAGGCCCCTGCATCTGACCACTTGAGCCGCTCGATGATGATTGACACATCTCCTTGACTGGGATCAGTAGAGTTTAGGTACACCCTGTCCTTCAAGGGCAAATGTAAGTTAGTGTATGTTTTCTTAGGAGTGTAAAGAAGTGTGGTAGGGTCTTCTGCAAGAAAATCAGGTAGTTTGATGGTCCACTCTATCTCAAGGGGTCCTTGATCTGTATCTTCCAGCGTAAAATGGCATCCAAAAATAGCGCTGCTTCCAACGGCCTTGTAAACAGTTGTGGGATCTCTGGGAAAAATCTTCACGGCTTCTGTTGACAGGAGTGTAAGGACAACCACCATTGGGAGTAGACAGGTAGGTAAAGCTTTCATGCCTGAAAAACTAACATTGGCACAAGTAAAGCATTCAGCATCAGAAATCTGGTATTTTGGTGAGACAGCTTAAAGACCTTGGGTCATCTACTCTGATTAAAAAAATTCAACAATTTTAAACACAGCAGCCTAACCCCAACCCTAACCCTAGATCATCAGTAAATTACCCTATTCCAGCTATTATATAACATTTCTGTAAATTTTCTGTATAGACATAAAGCAATTCAGTAAATTTTCTCTATAGACATAAAACAGTTCTGTAACTTTCCTATAGACATAGAATAATGCTGTAATTTTTCTGTAATTATTCAATATTTTCATATCTAGATTAACAGTGCATTAGCCCCATTGCACTTACTCACCATAAAGATCTTGAGCAAAAAACCCAAACCCTAACCCAAGACTTACATAACATTTCTGTAAAGTTTCTGTATAGACATAGAACAATTTTGTAACTGTGATATAGTTTAATATAAAAACTACAAAACGTTTTACAAAATATATAGTTTTCTAAATGGTTGTAGAACAGTTGCATACTTTACACATGTTTAGATCAAAATCTTGAACGTTACCTTATACATTAAATAAACTTCAAAGTTCTCAAATTGTTTTATTTTTTAGTGAAGTAGGAACACCACAGGCATGTAGAGAAGGAACATTGCGATGTTCACAATGCCTGCAAGGGCAATGTTGCATGGATCAACAGGGCAGCGGGCACCAAAAAAAAATTCAGATCAGTTTCCAAATGCCAAATATTGTTTGTGAAATTTTGGATAAATGTCTGGTTACGATCTCTGTGTTTGTGTCCATGGCCAAAAGGGGGTTATTTTAGTCTAATATGCGTGAGGGAAAATGGCATAGAAAGATTACATAATTTAGAAAAATTACGTAATTTTTCTATGGTAATTTTTTTCATGTGCATATTGGACATCGTAATAAAGTTAGGAAATGCATAATTTATAATTAATTTTGAGGTTAAAATTACATTATTGTTCTGTGATGTTATTGAAATATTTAGTGATTCTAAGATTTACAGATATTTTAAAGACATTTACATAATTTTAATATGAAACCATACATTGTAAAAAAATCCAACTTGCTAAATGTTAGGTAAATTTAAAAAATACAGTTGGCCCAACTTTCTCATGATGATTTAACTGACTCAACAATCTATACTGTGTTCATGGCTGTCTCATAACGCACACCCTGCATCAACTGAAAATTTAAAGTTGATTAACGTTTTTACATGGGTTCTAGTACCTGGATGGGTCTGCTGTTCAGCAAACTGATTTATTAGCGTCCAACTGATTATCTATAAACATGGAGGTATGCAACAGAGTAAATCAAATCCAGTGTACAAAACTACACATAGAAATATTTTTGCTGCAAAAGTTAACACTTAACCAAAAAAAAAAAACAAAACAAAAAACAGCCATTAGCAGACTTTATATTGTAGATTCTCTGCAGCTGGACTACGTAACCATAACGTTATATTCCTATAGCAGGCTGGATGTTAGCTAGATGACGCTAGCTAACATGCTAACGGGCCAACACTCCACCGCAGAGGCAGTAAGTGCGCGCTTAGAGCAGCTTCTGGAAAGTTCAGAAGGCTTCAAAACACGTCTGGTAAGTAAATGCCTGGTTTATTTGACGTACCAACAGTTTTTCAGTCAGACATTTACTCAAACCTAATACAATAATTTGTTAATGTTGAGTTCTTCATATATTAAAATGAACATGAGCATCATTTGCTAACAGTCAGTTAGCTAGCTAGCTCGCCATTATCTGCTGTGGTAGCTAGCCTAGTGAGTCACCTCTTTTACATGAGTGCTCTCACAAAATAATATGAGAAATTCTTTTTAATGAATTTGGAACAGTGTCAAATTTATATTCCATGTCTAATAAACTGGTGTGTACACTTGTTAGAGTTGTTAGCTTGCTGGCTAGCAGGCTAATGGCTTCACACACCACAGACCAGCTTCACTCACATGAGTTTAGAAGATAAAAACAGAAATCTGAAGGAGTGACTGATGCTGCAGTTACAGTGAAAACAATAAGTTATTATATCAACTGAGCCGTGATTTGGTAACTAGATGCTAAGTGACTTAAAATCCTGTATCAAACTAATGTTTGTGAAATCTTTATTTTCTCTTCTATTCATGTCACTGCTTTAAGGCTTAACCGAATAGCTACTGTTCTTGTTATGACCTCCACATCTCCTACATCTACCACCAACATTTCTTAGATATGGAAGCAGATTTATTTACATTTCTCTAACATGTTGCTGGTTTGTTTTTCTTAGTTTTTTTCTATCAGTGTGATCATATTCACCCAAAATAAATATTGTGGTGGTGCATGCTTATATCATACATGAAAACCCAGCAAAAATCACCGTTTTGAATGGTACATAGGCCATTCACATGAACTGTGTGGATTCCATGAGTTTTTGAAGAGGGGGTACTCAACACTTCTTCTATCTGTAGCACAGATTGTATTTCTGTTTCTTACCATTTAAAATAAACATATTGCATTGCTCATACACTGTATGGTTCGTCAGTTCAACCTAAAAAAATTACTTCATGTGGGAGCAAACAATTGATTTAGTTTTATTCAGGTCAAAAAGGTACATTGAATGAAAGAATTGTTCATTCAGATTACTTATTTAGCTTGAATAAAATTAATTCATTTACTTGGTACCACATGAAGTATTTTTTTTTAGATTAAACTGACAAGTGATTTTTTACAGCATGAAGCTGAAGTGGACTTTTATTCATATTTCTGTGCCACCTCAAATTGTGGAATGAAAACATTGAGATTTAGGAGAACTATGGCCTCCTGCTTTATTCAGAACTGGTAGCTATTATTATTTAGTACAATGTGGACCAGAGTCTGCCAACTATTAAAGATTGAGATGATGTTGTAACATGGTGGGCTTCTGTCTTTGAAACTGGAAAATACTCTTAAGGTGGGGCAGTTTGCCCATAAAGATTGTGCCCATGCTTTGTTTCTAGGTAATAAAACTTTTTTTTCACTGAACCACTTTTTTTGCCTTTCCTGTAGTTTAATCTAAAGTGCACCAGAATTGTTCATTTTCATTTTAAAATCACAAAAACTCTGACTGGTGAGGATGCTTCTGAACTTGCCTACAGTGGATTGTGTTTTCTCAACATGTCTTTTTTTTATTTTTATTTATTTATTTTTTTTACTCCTCTCAAGTTTTCATGACTAATATATCTGCTTCCATGGTGGATCCCCATCTTGTACAACCAATTTTACTAAAGTCCTGTTTCAGTGTCTCTTTTTCCTCAACTTCTAGGCCCCTCCCACCCACCACATTGCAGCTACAGGAGCCTTCTCACCAGCAGTGAACAAAGCACAAAACCTCTGAACTTGAGTAAAAGTAGAAATTATTTTTATAAAATATGATTTAAGTTAAAGTAAAAGTACTCTATTTATGATTTTACCTACAAAAGTTCTTGGTTTTAAAGTCAGTGTCAACCAGATATCATAAGGCGTAAAACTATTATTCATTATTTTTTAATTTATTTAGGTTTTTATTAGTGAAAGTCATTGCAGATGGAGAAAAATTTTTTTGTTTTATGTGTAATGAATTGTGTTTAATACGATCATGGACATTAACAGTTGCAGTTATATTATTTTGATATATAATTTGATATATTTATTTATGTTAAGGAGGCCTGTGTGGCTTCAGACATCAGAGTTCACTGTCCGTGTCTATAGCAAAACCTTCTTAACATAAAATATTCATCAAAATTAATATTTTCTATAATAACCTTTACTTCTGATACTCATGTAATTTAGAAGCAAGTTCTCAAGCACAAATGTTGACTGAATGCCTCCAAATGAAGTAATATTTAACCAAGAGCATTTCTGCTTTTACTTAAGTTTGTATTTGTATTTTGGCCACCCTGCTCCTTGCTGACCATCTAAGCCCAGAAGAGGTCAGGAACAAAAAGTATTTGTATTCTTCCGGTATGGAAGCAATGTCTTTACTGGATTTGAGAGGATTGAATGCTTGTGCACGTTTAGTTAGTCAACAGAAATCTGCCTGTATCTGTTTCAGTTGTTGAAGTTAGAATTTTAAAGCTTTACCTAATGTTCTCGCTTCCTACAGATATCCATCTGGTTCTCGACTGATCAGGACTTATGGCTTGTCCCAGGTGCTTTAACCTATAGTGTTGTTTATAGTATTATTCTTCATATTATTAGTACATATTTCATTATATGTTTTACTGCATCTTTTAGCACTAAATGTTGCCAGTGTTATGAATTTTAAGATGTACTTAGAACTATGGCTCACATGCTTTGCTTTTTTCTTTACTTTGCAAAGCTGTTGTGTGAAAGCAAGAGCCTTTAAGGTTGTGTGATGTGAAAAACAGTACATTGTTATTCACAATAACATGCTCCTTCTTGTATTCTATTGTAATGTCTTTTCTTTTTCCTGGTGTTGATTCGTATGTTTATTTTTCATACTGTCCACTTTTTGGATTTTTCTCATCCTTATGTTTTGTCTGGTGAGTGTTTATTACCAATTTTGCTTACATTTTCTTCATTTTTGATGCAGCCATGAAGAATCCACCCTCACAAGATGCAAGTGACAAAGAAATTGACCAGAGACCTCCATACCTGTTAAGGGACGAGTGTATTTAACATAGTGAGGTGGGCTTCAGATGTTCATTCTCTTGCTCTCTCTCTCTCCCTCAAATACGTAAACACTCGGTGGCCAGTTTTAAGGTACTCCTAACTTAAAGAGTGTAGTCTGTCTGTTTCTCTGCATACCTTTTGGCCCCCTTTAACTGTGTTCTTCAGTGTTCAGAACCCCCCCACAGGACCACCACAGAGCAGCTATTATTTGGGTGGTGTATTGGACACAGCAGTGCTGCTGGAGTTTTTAAACACTGTGTCCACTTACTGTCCACTCTATTAGACACTTCTAACTTGTTGGTCCT